TCAACACCACAGGCTAAGGTCCGTGACCAAAGAAAATCTCCAACTAAGGTCCGTGACAAAGAAATCTCCAACTAAGGTACGTGACCAAAGAACATCTCCAACTAAGGTCCGTGACAAAGAAATCTCCAACTAAGGTACGTGACCAAAGAACATCTCCAACTAAGGTCCGTGACAAAGAAATCTCCAACTAAGGTCCGTGACAAAGAAATCTCCAACTAAGGTACGTGACCAAAGAACATCTCCAACTAAGGTACGTGACCAAAGAACATCTCCAACTAAGACACGTGACAAAGAAATCTCCAACTAAGGTACGTGACCAAAGAACATCTCCAACTAAGGTACGTGACCAAAGAACATCTCCAACTAAGGTCGGTGACCAAAGAAAATCTCCAACTAAGGTCCGTGACAAAGAAATCTCCAACTAAGGTACGTGACCAAAGAACATCTCCAACTAAGGTCCGTGACCAAAGAACATCTCCAACTAAGGTCCGTGACCAAAGAACATCTCCAACTAAGGTCCGTGACAAAGAAATCTCCAACTAAGGTCCGTGACCAAAGAACATCTCCAACTAAGGTACGTGACCAAAGAACATCTCCAACTAAGGTTCGTGACAAAGAACATCTCCAACTAAGGTACGTGACAAAGAAATCTCCAACTAAGGTCAGTGACCAAAGAACATCTCCAACTAAGGTACGTGACCAAAGAACATCTCCAACTAAGGTCCGTGACAAAGAACATCTCCAACTAAAGTACGTGACCAAAGAACATCTCCAACTAAGGTACGTGACCAAAGAACATCTCCAACTAAGGTCCGTGACCAAAGAACATCTCCAACTAAGGTCCGTGACAAAGAAATCTCCAACTAAGGTACGTGACAAAGAAAATCTCCAACTAAGGTACGTGACCAAAGAACATCTCCAACTAAGGTCCGTGACCAAAGAACATCTCCAACTAAGGTACGTGACAAAGAAATCTCCAACTAAGGTCCGTGACCAAAGAACATCTCCAACTAAGGTACGTGACCAAAGAACATCTCCAACTAAGGTATGTGACCAAAGAACATCTCCAACTAAGGTACGTGACCAAAGAACATCACCAACTAAGGTCCGTGACCAAAGAACATCTCCAACTAAGGTCCGTGACAAAGAAATCTCCAACTAAGGTCCGTGACCAAAGAACATCTCCAACTAAGGTACGTGACCAAAGAAATCTCCAACTAAGGTCCGTGACAAAGAACATCTCCAACTAAGGTACGTGACCAAAGAACATCTCCAACTAAGGTCCGTGACCAAAGAACATCTCCAACTAAGGTACGTGACCAAAGAAATCTCCAACTAAGGTCCGTGACAAAGAACATCTCCAACTAAGGTACGTGACCAAAGAACATCTCCAACTAAGGTCCGTGACCAAAGAACATCTCCAACTAAGGTCCGTGACCAAAGAACATCTCCAACTAAGGTTCGTGACCAAAAAACATCTCCAACTAAGGTCCGTGACAAAAAAATCTCTAACTAAGGTCCGTGACCAAAAAACATCTCCAACTAAGGTCCGTGACAAAGAAATCTCCAACTAAGGTCCGTGACCAAATAATGTCTCCAACTAAGGTCCGTGACCAAAAAACATCTTGATCTACGAAGTGTGAAATCTCCACGCTAAATATCTATTAGTGGCTTTCTCTCCGCATGAATGCAGGATTCATTAGTTTCGTCCTGTTACTGTTACAGCTGAATGACTTCGTTCATGGCAACTAACCAGGACGTTTGCATCTACATTTACTTGAAAGTAGATTTACAGCTGTCGGGGTAAAGATGGACAACCAGGACAAGAAATTTCATAGGGGCACCACCATTACTAGGTCAGTACCCGCTCTTATCTTTACATGTATATCTCATAGATTACATGAAGTTTAAAACGGATGTGTACAGGATTTAAAAAAAAAAGAAAAGATTTGATTAGCAACTAATCCAGCGGTTCTCAACCTGTGGGTCGCGACCCCTTTGGGGGTCGCACGAACCTTTCACAGGGGTCGCCTAAGACCATCTGAAAACACACATACTCCACAGTTGTAAAGTATTAACGAAAATAATTTTGCGGTTGGGTGTCGCCACAACATGAGGAAATGTATTAAAGGGTCGCGGCATTAGAAAGGTTGAGAAACGCTGAACTAAACCGTTTCATTTAGTTTTCAATGAAACTTTAAGGTTGTGGGTTTAAAAATATCAGTCACTGTCACATAAGAACATTATTCTATAGTTTGAAAGATATATATTTCATTTAAAAATCTCTCAATTAAATATTGAGGTGAAGTAAATTACTGTTAAGGCACAACCTTGGCTACTTTGTTAAAAAATAAATACAAATTGTCCACTGGGGATTCACGTGAACTTTGCACTCACACAATCATAGGCCTATCAGACATAGGCCAACCAGACATAGGCCAACCAGACATAGGCCAACCAGACATAGGCCTATCACACTTAAGGCACAACCTTGGCTACTTTGTTAAAAAATAAATACACATTGTCCACTGGGGATTCACGTGAACTTTGCACTCACACAATCATAGGCCTATCAGACATAGGCCAACCAGACATAGGCCAACCAGACATAGGCCTATCACACATAGTCCAACCAGACATAGGCCAACCAGACATAGGCCTACCAGACATAGGCCAACCAGACATAGGCCTACCAGACATAGGCCAACCAGACATAGGCCTACCAGACATAGGCCAACCAGACAGACGCATACCAGACATAGGCCAACCAGACATAGGCATACCAGGCATAGGCCAAACAGACATACGCCAAGCAGACATAGGCCTACTAGACATAGGCCTACCAGACATAGGCCTATAGCTCATTAACAGGGGCACTGCGAAGGAAAAACGGGGCAGGGGAAAGGTCTGATGTTAATAATCGCACCCCCTCCTCTTTTTTTTTCATAAATAAATGATATGCATAAGTACCGGTATATTGAGAATTTTGGTGCCCAGGAAAGATGCCCCCTTAGCCTTCATCCTTCACATCGCCCTAAATATAAATATGTCATGTGTATCTTTGTGTGTGTGTTCTATAATTGCCTTTGCCAGAGCCTCGGTCTCGAAACTTGATAAAAAAAAAAAAAAAAAAAAAACCTAAATATAAATATGTCATGTGTATCTTTGTGTGTGTGTTCTATAATTGCCTTGGCCAGAGCCTCGGTCTCGAAACTTGATAAAAAAAAAAAAAAAAAGAATCCTTTGACCCTGTTATGTGCCGAACAGTCCGTACACGGTGTACTATTTTACTGTGTAATATTTCACTGTGTTTAAAGTCATCTAGCTGAAGGGCTCCCAACTTTAAAAAAACAAAAAAAACAAAACAACAACAACAAAAAACAACAACAACAAAACAACAAAGTAAAACAACTCAGGGACCTCTTGCAAATTATGAACATCCATTGCGCCAAATAGGCTCTCGTTTATAACGGGATATGTGCACTTGATGTCTGTTACGACAAGGAACAAAGAATTCAATTTTTCAACACATTTTAAATATTAACTTTTTATGTTTTTAACCTCATTTTTAATTTAATATTTAAAAAAAAACCTGCGAAAATTTTAAGGTGAATAAAGAGAGAATCATTTATATTTTAAAGTAATTTTACTTGCATGTAGCCAAGTAATTGTAATGGATGTAAACTCAAGTAGTAGGTTAGACTGGTCCGCACAGGACAATAGTTTTAAAATATTTAAAAATTGTATCCTTATACAGATTATTTTTATTTTAAAATATTAATGTTAAGATCGTGGATAATAGTTTGAGAACCACGATTCTATTATTGACAATATCCTGAACTGAACTATATCCTATTTATTTTGAAAACAAAACATGCTTTTCATGCTTTTATTCACTTATTAAAATATTTTTATTTAATGGGTGGGGCTAGGACACGCAGCCATTTTGAATCTAATTAACCTTCACTGCAATAATTTTTAAAAAGGAAATCTATAATAATTAATATGCCTAAAATGAACAAGGAGCTTAATAAACATGCCTTATTAATTTCTATTGTGTATTTGTATTACAATTAAGCTCACCGCGCAATAACACCATCGCCGTCAGTGTTTATTATAATATTAACTTGCAGTGGCTATGAGTATGAGTATGAGTAGTATGTTGAGTTGGCATTCCTTACCGGCACGAGGTTAAGGTCATCAAGGGCAGTCACTGACGTGAACTTATATTACTATTATGACGCATTCATTTTGCCTGCTCCATAGAGAAGGAAGAAAAAATAATTTGAAACTTAACCTTCCCTACCTCATTTATAATATTAAATCCGTTTCAGAGCTGATGACCTATGAACTAACAAAAATACCCCCCCCCCCCAAATTGAGTCTACTATGCAATGTCCTTGAAACATACGCATCCTGTTATTTTGTTACACATTATTTATGACGGAGTAAAGCAGGCAGTAATCTCCATGGGGAAAGGAGCATGTGTTCAGTTTCAAGTGGCAGGTGTGTCACACCCCACCACGAGTCCAACCGGTCTGTAGTACTAAGTAAATTATTAATTAATGAAACAAATAACAGCCATATTTGAACTTATTTACCAAGTGACAATTGCTTGAGACATGGGCTGTTAAACTCAAACGTACAGAAAGCACAGAACCTGACGGAGGAATGACCAGTAAATGCAGCGGGCTCTTTCTTTTGTGCAGCGTACCTTGCACAGTAATTATGCAATGAGGTGTTCTACTACACATTGTAAGTTTCAACAGCCTATGCCCTTACCACCTGTTAAATTATAAAATGTATACTTGTCAGGAGGCAAGTGTGAGAACTCGCCCATATCCTCCTCACCCTATAATTAGTATAAATATCTCTCAGCGCAGTGTTCAATAGGACTCGAGATTAATTCAACTTAACCTCAGATGTTAGCTCGCTAACTACCTTCAGTGAATCCATGAGTTAGCTGGAAGTATTGGAAGAGCAAATCACAATGAGCCAGTAGCAAAACCTTCCTAAAAAGACGTCCCTAAAACTCTTGGTAAATAAAAGCAAGACCCAATCCCCCCATTCACAAAGGACAATACAAATGTATTTGAAAACAAGAAATCCAATAATTGATAAAAACTTCAGTGTGTAGTTTATTGTACAAAAAGTACAGCACACATTAGGCAAGGCTGCACAGAAAGAAAGACAATTCCTGGAACCCTTGTACTAAACACACGAGACTTGTACAAGTACACATAATACAAGAATAGCTTTGAACATGTAAAGTATCAAAATCAATAAGTTATAGGTTTTCTTCATATCTATTTCAAAAAAAAAAAAAAAAAAAAAAGAAAAAAACAACAAAGTAAAAAAAAAAAAAAAAAAAAAAGGTAATACACTAGTAAGTTAAAATCAATAAAAATGAAAAGGAGGCTCCAAAGTTAGAGAATGTCATCTTTATGTGCTGACTTGCATCACAATTAGGTCAAGACTGGACAAGGGTCAAAATTTAATAGTTCAACACCCCACCCACCCAAAAGGTCATTTATTGTTAGACATGAAAGTTAAACCCTAGACATTGGAAGTGAACAGTTTGACCCAGGTTCAGACCTGCATAAAATAGATTTAACGCCTTAATTCCCATGACATCCTGACATGGCATGTACGCCATGACATCCTGACATGGCATGTACTATCATCTTGCTGTAGTTAACATGTTTTTAAAAAAAAATAATCACCAATTCTAAAAAAAAAAAGACATAACTTTTTTAAATACATAAATGATATTTTTTACACATGAAAATGATTAACAATTGAAAAAAAAAACACCACCAACCTCTTTAACTGCTGGTCAAGAGGTTCAATAGGGGACGTTAAGAGAAATTAAGACTATGTTGGTGAAAGGAGTAAAACAAAAATATATATTTATATAAAATTTAAAAGCTTTAAGTAACAATTACATATACAGCCAGGTGGAAAGAGAAGCGAAGAAGTTCTCTGTCCAGGCCTAATTTAAAATATATTTATATATGTATATGACAATACAGAATCTCAGGGAACCCCCTTCATCAATATTTGTTAAATGAGATTTAACACAACGGCCAGCTCATGCCCTGCAGCTCTAGCCCAGATGTGTCCCACTGACCTACTTAGCAGCTGTGAAAACTTATCTGCATGCTGTAGCCAGTGCTGAGTGCAAAGAATTGATTGAGTTTGCGCCAAGGACAGGGCTAGAGGGAAAAAAACAACTGATATAAGGATTTAAAAGCACAGTAATAGTGTTGTCCCATTGAACACAACAACATGTTGAGTAGCATGAACTGTGTTGGGTATCCGAAACTAATGATTGGGGAGGAAGCCAAAGCTTGTACAAATATACACAGGAACTCTGTATTGTTGAACTATTGAGAGAAAAAGCATGGTAAGGAAAAAAAAAAAGGAGGTGAATATATGCTTATTCTTTGTTATGCATCATCTACGGAAATAAATGCAATTAGACAGTGCCAAACAAACGGTGCAGCCCCATCAAAGGCTAAGACACCTCATTATGTGAATAAAATAAAAGCGCCAGAAAGCCATATTCATAATCAACTAATTAAATACACAAGACATTTGGCTTATATCTTCCTTTTTTTTTTTCCTTCTTGTTTTAGTCTTGTATCCAATTTTTCGGGGGTTAAAAAAACGAAGAAAAAGCATAAGAAATTAAGCTCAAATGCTGAAAAAATAGCTGCCTGTTTTAATTAAATAATTAAAATATCCAGGTCATGGTATAAAACCAATGATATCAAAGGATTCCATCTAAACATAAAACGTCACACAATGTACAGGTTTTTTGTCTATCTGATTCAAATGAAAGGCATCAAATAAGACCTCATTATTCAGACCTTTCAATAACAACTTACAGGGAAAATAGACAAACTGAGAACTGAAATATGCATGGCTTTACCTATGGTCATGCAGGGTTAAAACAAATTAAAAGCAGTAACTTGCGGTTACCAAAACTAAGATTTGAATAAATAAGGGGAAAATAGGACAAATACTACAGCTTCCTTCATAGCTTTGTAAGATTGTTATTTTCCCTGTAATCAGGTGAAAAAAATTAAACATCACTGTAAAAACTGCAAGTATTGGGAAATAAATAACATCTATAAATATATTTACTGATATATAAATATATAATATAAATTAACTCTCAGAACAAAAAAAAAAAAAATTTGATCTTTTTTGTTTTGTGTGTGTGTGTGGCTTATTTGTGTTTTTTTTAAAATTGTGCCAAGAGACTTTTATAATACAATCCTGCCAAAGTTATAAATTAAAATATAAATTAAAAAAACCTTTCTGGTTGCTCATTAAACAATGGTAACACAAAGCATGATATAAGAGAAACCTTGAAAGAGAAAAATTCCTGAAAAGAGAACCATAACACTAAGTGCATAGTGCCAAACGTTAGGACTATCCATCAGGGGGTGGGGGGTTGATACTGTCTTTCCTGCCATAATTTTTGTGTTAAATAAGGAAACCACACGTGAGACGAACACAGAGACCCGCAAAAGATTTCACATGTAAAAAAACACCACTAAGGCATCTTTCGGAAAGGCACCATCGGGAAAAAAAAAAAGGTATCTTCAGTTTCACAGCTTAGTCCTGGTTACATTGTTTCTTAGCTGCATTGTGCTAGCCTTTGCCAATCTATCAGACATCATGGCAATATAATTATAATACTTGCAATTCATGAACTGGAATAAATCATGTCACATTCATTATAAAAATTTTGAAAAAAAGAAACGGAACAAAAACCAATCAATTGAAAAGGCATATATTTTTTTGGTCCATTTATGAAAATATTACCCCAATTTAGTGATTCCAAGCATCGATTTAATCAGATAATGAAAGCACCAAGGGTATATCTTGTATTATAATAAATAAAATACATCATGTAGGTGTAATAATTCACAGATTAATGACGGGAGAGGAAAAAAAAACGAATAAGTGAGAGGGGCAGAAAAAAAATACATGATCATATACCAGTTAGCCCTGAGAGAACACCTGCGGGAAGCCTCCCTCTGATTATGTACTAACCTATGACCTGACCTAGTTTCAGCCTGAAAGCTAAATGAATAAGTCTGGTAAAAAAAAAACGGGGCTAACAGTTTTACTTCTTATCATCCCTATTAATCAATGTCTATGCTTTGGAAATTGAAACCAATGAAAGGCAGATCTCCTTGTAAAATATATTTAAAAAAGGAAATAGTTTGAACACTTTTGAAAAAAAACAGCCTTAATTAACCACAAAAATGCCAAAATGTGGAAAGGATCTGCTGAAATAATCAAATATTAAAATATGTTTAACATTAATCTGTGCATTAATTTGATATACTGAAATGGTTCATAAATAATCTTCAATCTCAAGACTTGAAAAAATAAATTAAATCACTATCATAATTATCTTAAAAAGTCATTGCCACACTAAATGTGAAAAGTACAGTAACATAAGAATGCGCTGTGCCCCATCACTTCAGACCTGGGAGCGACGTGCGAAACATAATACAATAGAAAATAAATAAAATCATGGTATAATGTCCTAACACATCAAATGACTATGATAAACAATAGCAATTTAAAGAAAAGGAAAGGTTTTTAGTAACTCTTTTATCTTAAGTATGAACACTGTAGTGGAGTACATGATAAATGCCATTAAATTGATTCTTGAAATAAAAACATTACAAACATGCACTCAGATCTCTTCACCCAGTTAGGCATCAACATTTTTTGTGTGCATTAAACAAATACGAAATTTTTTAAATATAATTATTGCAATCAAGAGAAAGTTATTATATTTACTCTAGTCTGTATAAAAAATACTTCTCCATGAAATAACATTGCCATTCATACTCAACATGGTTTAAAAAGTTATTGAACATCGAGAAATTTCTGATCATCTCCATAAGTTGCCACATACATATCTGACAGCGCCTCAAACTTTTTCAACCACTGACACGCTGAACATATTAATCAAAATGAACATGGTCCGTATTTTACTGGTTTTACAGTTAATAAAAGTCAACTATTACCTCGCTCAGACTTGCATCACAAAAGCATTTACAAAAAGCCAGACACAAAAATCATACACATGAAGCAAATCTTTCATTGATGCAAAAATCCTGCACACAGAGGGATATAAAAATGTTCATCTAATTTTTAAAAAAATAATGTTACAAAGTTTAACTGAAAAAATTCAGTATTGTCCAATGGCAACTGGGCATCGCCACTCTGTGAAACCAGTGCTGGCCAAACTCTCAGTACTACCTCCACAATCGCTGCCACTGCTGCTGCTACTGCCATCAGAGCCTGTTGGTGAATAGTGGAAAGGATCAACGGGCCTAATCATTTGAGCGAAAATATCTTTTTGCCAGATGGAATTGTCCCTGACAGGATAGTTATCCAACCTCAATGACTGCACTGCACAAGATGATGGTTTTGGGGCATTGTCAAGCTTGACCTCCTCCGTGCTGAACATTGTGATTTCGCTAAAGATGTCTCGCTCTTCAGAACCAATAATCTTGGGTTCTTTGTTGTTTCCACTGAAAGTATCGATGCGGTTCAAATTCAGATGGCTGAGCTGTTTAAGAGAGAGCTCATAGTTGTAGCTGCCACAGTTGTTGATATTAACTGAAAGAGGGGCATTGAAAGGACGATTCTCCACATTTATTGTGGACATAGGTGGGCTGGACTCCTGATAGTTAAAAACGTTGTGGTCATCACTGCCCGAAGGACTTAAAGAAGGACTACTGCTGCCACTGGATGACTGCACACTACCTGATCTAGCAAGCTTAGGGGAGGACTCTGCGGGCTTAGTCTCCTCTTCATGGATAAAATGACATCTAGGACCGTAAGGGCAAAATCCCACAGTGTGGAAAGTGCGGCACAGTTCGGTTTTATACTTTGGGTGCCTGGCGAGATTTCTGAGTTCATGATAGCCATGGGCAAACTGACATTTATCACCGTATTTACAAGACCCGCTTTCCTCAAAAGGTCGACAAAGTTCTGTTTTGTAACGGCTGGAATTGACTGATCTGTGCGAACCATTGCGATCACTATCACTGTCACTCCAACTACGGTCAAGCTTCCTGTGAGACGATGAAGACGTAGGAGATAAAGTGCTGCGGTTATTCGGGACGGTAGAATTATTAGTGAAGTCGGACATGGGAAAACGCTGCTGCAGACTATCCGAATACTGATTGTCTAACAGGCTGGAGTTAGTGCTGGTAGTGCTGCCATTACTGCCGCCTGATAAATTACGTAAGCGCAAAGCGTTCTGGTAGTTGCTGCATGACACCATTGCGCTTATTGTGCTACATTGGCTTATTGTGCTACGTCGCTCTGGTGGAGGACCCATGTTATTTTTCAAACTGCCTGTACGTCGGTTCTTCTGAAAAATAAAATAAAAATAAAATTATTAGCGGGATTACAGAATGATCCGCCGGCAAAGAGACATAGTAAGAGAGCTAGCGAGCGCGCCTACTGGCCGTGGCGAGGGGAAAAAAAGCAACCACGACCAACTGAAAAGAACCTGAGTTTAAAGATCAACACCCCCCCCCCCCCCCCCCCCCCCCCCCCAAAAAAAACCGCGCAACGAACATGAGAGTGTTGGAATGGTAACGCAGTGTACAACCGCCACCTAATAGCGCTCCGCTTCATGAAAATCCGCGTCAATTATTGAATTAGGTTTGTTGTAAAAATTGTATTAGCATTAGCCAACATCAAAATCAATTTCAATGACATAATATTTATATAATTCGTGCAAGTAATAAACTACATTTACCGGTACTACAATATATATATATAGGCCTATATATATAATATATAATATATATATAATTCAACCAACAGATCTGGAGGCCCAGTGTTGTATACCACAGTGCGATATTATATCACTATTCCAAGCTGTTGCCGCATTAAAATAAAACTAGTAGCTGCAAGGCCAAACAGTCAATGTTAACGCCCAACGTGTTTAATTAGTTTATTTTAACAAACTTCATATACTTGTATAATTATAATCATATAATCCTACAGACAAGTGACTTCTGAGGGAACCTTCGAAAAAATGGAATTAGTTATCAATAGGCCTATATCAATATTTTACAATTTATGATGAAATTCATTAAAAGTAAAGGAAAGTCACTGTACTAAAGTTGCGCTGCACTGGATACCAATAAAATCGAAATATAATTGTGAGAGTGATATCGGGATAGAATTATGTCAAGAGAACCTACATTTCAAATCAATGTTGTAAAAAACTTACAATTATTCTGTTGAAAAGATTAGAGGATGAAATTTAACAAATAATAAAGAACGCGTCTTTCAGTTTTGTCTTTAAACAATTTAATATAAACACTCAATCCACGCCGTCCCGCGTAGCTGAAAGCTAAGGAAAGCTAAGCGAAGTTATTTGAAATATGAAAAACAATACGGAAAAAAAGCCGTTATTTCTCCCCATGTTTCAAAATTTTAAAAATTCACACAGATGTCGCTATCGTGATGTAGAAAAATCAATGATGGCAACCGAACCGCCACCTTGTCCTTTACTAGCGCACAGAATCACGACAGAAGTAGAATATCCACAGTAGATATATATATATAAGGAACGCTTTCAGTGTCTTACATTTTATAAAGCCGTCCCTATCATCATCTAGTTGTATTTTTTTTTTTAAACGCCTACATGAAGCTTAGAATTATTAATTTAAAGGTAAGTAATTTGTCGAGCACTTATGTCACGTAAAGCGCGGTACTTTTGAGTTATCACCAAATACTCAAAATTAAAATTTTAGCCTTGGTATTCAGTACTACTAAGTTAAAGAAAAGTAATATTGGTTTTGCGATATGAAAATAAAAAATGAGTGTCTACACTGCTGAGTGTTAATAACTTAATAACGCAGTCGCAGATTTCACAGTCCGGTGATACCATATGACCATATTATACATGGTTACATTGGTCATACTTTTTCTAATATTGCACTTAGATTTAAATCCACAAAAGAAATATTTTTCGCGTATCCACAGTGGTAGATGGTGTTAATCCAGTACTCTCAAAAAAACTAATTCCATACCTGCATCAATAAAGCATCTCCACCCTCAGATGATCTGATATCCATGGTTATAGGTTATTTGGAAAGGAATATAGTGTGTACTCCGATGTATTGTGCGCCTTTTCACCCACCGCTCTTCTGTCCTCCCGCCCAGAGCACAGCGCTTTTATAGATCTAAGCTCCGCCCCAGAGCTGCCATTCACGTTGCATTAACGCGCAGTGCGCGACGCTTACCCTAACGTGATTGGTTAAACTCACTTTTTGTAAACATAACTCGAGAAAGAGAGGAGCAAGTTCTACACAATGGTACAAGGTCACAGGGACCTAGAAATGGCGTACTATCAACCTCGATTGACTAGCGCCGCGCGGGTCTATGTTAACTGCAAATATAGACTACTGTATATGTTGTCCCCAGTCAGTACAGTAGTAAGCAGAATCAGAAGCTCTCTTCGCCCTGGTGTTGGCGCCCAAATCTATTACCGTTACACTACCACTAGCTAAATAGACTGATAGAGGATGGCTTGGGATACCAGGGTACTTCCAGGGTAGCTATTTTAAAAACGTATACAGTTAGTGATTGATTTGCTAAGAATTAGCTGAAAATCAAGACTAAGAAGGTTAACAAACGAAAATTGTTGATTGCATTGTATAAAGTTAACTTCAGCTTCTCTTCATTTATAAAGCGTACGATATAATTAATATAATATGAATGTTATTGAATGTAAGCGATTTTCCCCTTGTCCTTATCTCAGCTGCTCACATGGAGTCGCATATTCAATCATATAATATGTGCTTAATTAATTTTTGGGGTCCCAAGTATATTTGTACCTAAAGTTTGGGCCAAGAATTATTTCTTTTTAAAATACGGGGCGAAGTAACACACAGTTTGGACCCCCCTTTTTCATCGATGAAGAATCAGCAGGCGTGAAGAAATAAGCTGATTTTAGCCAACTCTAATCCAGGTGATTTCTATAAATCACAAAGTTTATAAGGTTTCGATAATGATGTCTAAAATTGTACGCTTTTACTACTACATTACAGCAGCTAGTCGATTTTTATTGTTAGTCCTTAACCCTGCAATCATGTAGTCTGCATCTGTTTAAAATTTCCTATAGTTTATCCTCATATTTAAACCATATCTGTATTAGGGTTGGATTGTATTGATGCACCGGAGTCCATGGGAAAAAAAGGAGGGGGGGGGAGCACTTCATGGGGAAAACTACCAGTTGAAATGATGGGAGAAACGAAAAAGACAAAATAATAAAAGCTGTCTCTCAAATTTTTTATTTTATTTTTTTATATTCCCAAATAGCGCTGAGAGGGGGAATATTGGAGAGGAAAAAAAAAAACGGGGGGGGAAAAAAAAAAGGGGGGGGGGTAAGATTGTAGGGGTGGATGAAGTCAGAAACGGTAAACAACTTTCTCAAGAGCCAGCTCCCATAGCGAGCTCACCAAATTAAACACAGATGCTCCTTTTTTTCGCGCGTGAGAACTTTTCAGCGGACACGAAAGAGATGCACCGTTACACAAGGGCCGGGGGAGGGGGGGGGGGCGGAGGCGCTGCCTGCCTACCCCCAAGAGGTAGCGGATCTGGAATCCTGAAGTGATTTCTGTTTTCACACTTCCCCGGTTAAAGGAGGGTCAAATTGCCGTCGGATATGCGTTTGACCGCTGTGCGGAAGAATAACGGAAGTGTCTCATGCAGCTCCAATTATTGGAGGACGAGTCATTCCATAAGTCCATACAAACATATTGTCATATACGTCTTCTATATTTAAAAGTTCCAAGATTTCTCTAAACAACATATACATATAAATGTGCATATTCTGTTATTTTAAATGTTTAAATTTAAATTCTTATTGTTAGCATCAGGTTCTATAAGTCACAATGTTTATAAGTTTTCGATAATGATGTCTAAAATTGCACGCTTTTCCTATTACATTACAGCAGCTAGTCGATTTTTAATGTTCGTCCTTAACCCTGCGATCATGTAGTCTGCATTTAACTTAATTGACCGTTCATGGTAACACCCAGAGCCGTCGCCCGAAAGGATCCTCATATATTTAGGGGGTCCAAAGTTGTGATGTGGAAAATTAACTTAACCATCAACTTGAATGGGGGGGGGGGGCGATATGGGGGGGGGGGGCGACCCAAACCCAAGTCGTAAAGTGGCGGAGGTCGGGCTACGAAATTCGACGTCACTGGAAAATCTGACAGTAAATGTTAACAGAGGCGTAGCTAAAGGGAGGGGGGCCAGGGGATGGACAGATGTCCCTGGGCGCCAGACTAGTTGGGGCGCCCAAATATGTGTTTTGATATTTTATTTATGAAAATAATGGGTTTGAGAGTTGAAAAAAGAAAAGGAGACGCTTTAAAATGAATCTTGTTCCCGGGCGCCAAACAGTGTGGCTACGCCTCTGAATGTTAACAAAGTTACTAGCTACTAGCAGCACTAGATGTTCACGTGTGCATGTAAATGATAATAATTTAAAAAAGAATATTTCATTGTTCTAGAAAAGTATTTGCAATTGTTTAGGTGCTATGATTAATATAATTAATTTAATTTTTAAAATAAAACTATTGTTAGTTAAATATTTATATTGCATTTAAACGCGAAAAAACTAATCCGCTAGTAAGAATCTTGAGTCCGCATTAGGACATTGTAACTGCATTTCGGAGCCCATTAGAAGTCCTTTGTCTTTCGATTTATGAAGTAACGTGAAGTTGTGAATTCGGGTCATATTTAATTTTCCTATCCTCATTTAGTCTAACACGTGTAACGTTATAATAATAATGATAATAAAGTTTATTTCAAAAACACGCTTCATCCCCAAAGGCTCGAAGCGCGGTAAAAAAATAAATAATTTAAACCACATTTAAAACAAACGCAACACTACAAAAACTAATGACAAGCAAACCAAGTCAAAGTCTTTCTACCCATTTCAACCCTAAGCAACACAGCCAATATGCATTAAATGGAAGATATGGTAAACAATCATCCCGGAAAACATGACCACTCGTAAAAAAAAAAAAAAAAAAAAAATTCCTATGACCCTGAGCAGCCCTGACATTGGTCATCAAAGAAGAAACCGGGCCAAGGGAAATAACCATTAAAATGTTTCATGCAGAGAAAGCTACAAGAGTTTTTTAATTAACACATTAAGGAAGGGGCCGTGAACATGTTATATTTAACACAAAATATGACAATTCTATCTTTCATAAAGTTATATAACATTTCCATTGACCACCCCTAATAATATAATACAATTCGAGCAATTGTAAAAGGTAATTGCAAGCATAAAGACAGACTTTTTTTGTTTTTTTTTTTGTGTGTTGAAAATGTAATAAATATTATAAGCAAAAAAATCATTTAAATTTTTTGCAGTCTAGGCAAATTTCGTAAATTTGAAAAGCAGGAAAAAAAAACAAAAAACAAACCACCAACCCCCTTTTCACAACAAAACGACTCCGATAAATCAAAAGAATAGTTATATAAAATTGCTCTCTACCACCCCCAACCTATATATCACCATATAACAAAATGAGAAACCACGCCCTACCCCCCTCTGCGTTATATAATAAGGTTCATGGCATTTTGCCCACTAGGTCTTTCCTAGACAGAAATTGAAAGAATCCGAACACATTGGGTACAGGTAAAATTGGGGAATAGTTTATAGAACAATGATATCACAGCACAACGCAATTTGATACAAACCAACACGTTTCACACACAACCTCTTACGGTGAGCTGGACGCTTTGCTGCAGCGTTTACAAGACTACATGGGTGACTCTTGGTAGATTCAATTAGGGTTTTCTAATCTTAAAAGGTTTGTGTGTGATATTATTATTTCGATAATAAAAAAAAATGATCTAAGGAGCACCAATTATTTCACTGCAAACTTTGATTCAACAATCAATATTTTTTTCTCTTAAGTGCTTGCTTTAAGTGCTTGTGAACTGTCTCTCATCGGTATATGACGCTGTGACAAGAGATGCAGTAGGCTACATGCAATGCGAACAACGTCTTTTCGTCCAAAGTGAATGTTATAGAAATGTTAGCATTACATATCAATTAAAAACATTTAATTCATGTGGCTGCGGATGTCAATTTTAAAATTTTGATCTATAAATTAAAATAAATATGCATACCTAAACCCGTTTTGCTGCTACAAATAAAAATGGGTGGTGTTAAATCTAATTTAGCGTATACAACTAAAGATTCCATTAAGATTTATTTTTTTTTACTTAAAATTAATTATGATATTTTCTAACATGCAGGTTCTAATACCAATGATTCTAACACCATCACGTGAGTAATAGGGTTCAACTGGACCTCGCATATGGCAAAAAAGGAACTTAAAAATATTTTTTTTTCGTTTTGTGTGATTATTCTAATTTGACCTTTAGATACCGGTAGTCCATAAAAAATACCGCTCTTTATTGGTCTTGAAAACAACTAAGATGTCTAATATCGTATTTGAAGTGGCGTTAATCAGTTTTCCGTTTTTAATTGTCTTCACGAATTGGTCCTAGAAAATATTAGATAAAATATATACCGGTAGCCAATACAAGAAGTAACCGCAGCAATTACTTTTGTTTTTTTTTTTTTTTTTTTTTTTTTTTTTTTTTTGTCAAAGGGCTATAATTCAGAGAATGATATGGCAAACAAGGACTTCTAAATTTTGTCTATTACCTCCCATGAAGTTTATGTCGACGTTTAAATGAATTGGCTGCTTTGTTAATTAGACCGTACTAATCTCGCTCTTCAGTGGCCTTGAAAACAAATAATCTCTAATGTCGTAATTATAGTGGGGTTATTCATTGTTCCGCTTTTTTGCAAAATGTATTCACGAATTCGTTCCATAAAATAATGTTTAAAAAAAAAAAATAACCTATACAAAAAGTAACTGCAACTTCTATCTTAAAAAGTTGTCAAAGGCCTATAATTCAGAGAATGATATGGCAAACGAGAACTTCAAAAATATGTCTATTACCTCCCGTGAATTTTATTTTGATGTTTATTAAATTTGCTCGGAAAAGGTCAACTAATAATACCGTAACAGCAGCCTCAAATTACAATGGTAAAGTTAAATGATACTGTTAAATTATTAGTCTGAGCTGAAACTATGAACCCCAGATACAATAAACATGCTGAAGAAAATGGATTGTTTCTCACAATGTGTACGGTAATAAAAAGTAAAAAATTATACGTGCTCAGGGCAGTGTATACGCTAAAAAACAACATTTACATGCAATACTTTCAACACCAAGGCAAGAATTGATAGGTTCTATATACCAACAGTAGATACAATAAATGAATCAAAAAACATCCCAGAAACACTAGACTTTACAGATCACAAAGGAGTCAAAATAACAATAAATACAACAAGATCAAACATCATAAAATAAATCCCCAAATTGGAAATTGAACAATTCACTTTTAGATAACAATCAGTACACAGATCTCATTAATAACGTAATAAAACAATATAGGACACTACCAAAAAAAGACATAGGACAACACTGGGATCTTTTAAAATCCACCATCAAACATATCACATAAAATTTCGCAACAAGCTTACACAGACAACTCAGAGAAAGAGGAAAAGAATAAGAAATACTCATACCTTCAGAGAAAGCAAAAAACTCTTTCAGCCCCCAGATACAATAATTAGAAAAAGAACTAGAAAAATTAATCAAAATAAATACAATGGCGCACATGTTAGGAGTAGAACTTTCACTAACAACCAAGAGGCACATACAAAGATCTTTCTAACAATAGAACAAAACATACAAAAAAGTAGACAGATAGGACAGATCGTTGAGACAAAAGGGGAAACACACACAGAGAACCCAAACATTGTAAACACATTTGAAAAATACTACACACAACTTTTTGGAACAGAGAAAACTGAGTCAGATATACAAGATAAGTACACAAAATTTACACAAAAGCTAAATAAAATTCAAACACAAGAAATGGAAACAACTATTACATTAGCAGACATTAAAACATCACTGACCAGCATGAACAAAAATAAAACACCTGGGCCAGATGGCCTTACAACGGAATTCTACCGTTTCTTTTTCACAGCACTTGGACCAATTTTACATGCCACACTAGAAGAAGCTTACAGCAACAATGAGTTACCACATTCAATGAATACTTCATACGTAACACTTTTACCAAAAAAAGATACAGACCGAACACAACTTAAAAATTACAGACCCATATCTTTACTTAACACAGACTATAAAATTCTAACAAAACTCTAGCAAATAAATTAAAACCACATTTAAATGCTCTAATACATATAAACCAACAATGCAGCATCAAAGGGAGGGACCTACATAACCAAAGAGACCTTTTTCAATATTCAAATGACAAAAACATCCCAAACTTGCATATTATCCCTAGACCAAGAAAAAGCCTTTTATAGGGTAGACCATACATACCTACATAAAATATTACAACACAACAAACTAGGGGATTATTTTTGTAATTGGGTAATACAAGTCCCCCATTAGTAATCTTATAATTAACAACACACTTTCTAAAGACATTAAAATTGACAGATCAGTTAGACAAGGGTGTCCCCTTTCCTCTTACCTTTATATCCTATCCTTTGAACCTTTGTTAGAGAGCATTAGAAGGGAGGAGAGTATTAAAGGAGTAAGGATCCCTGGAGGTAATGAAACGAAAGTCATTGCATATGCAGATGACACAATTTTTTTTCCTATTGATAATAGGATTAAAAAATAATATCATTATTTCAAGAACTTTAAAGAGGTAGTGGGTCTAAAATAAACATAACTAAATCTGAAATTATGGAGATAGGTAGGTGGAAAGATAGACTAAATTTCCCATTTAGAAATCATAAGGAAAGATAGTCTTAGGATATATGGCATTTATTTTTCAAACAAACAGACTCAAACTAACACAGAAACATGGCAAAACATTGCACAATCAATAAAAAACATAATTGACAGACATAAATACACAGCACACACAATTTTTGGCCGGAGCACAATCATAAACGCATATGAAATTCCTAAAACAATATACACAGGGAACATATGGGGACTTCCACCAGCACATTTTAAAACAAATAAACATACACATCAGGAACTATATATTTCAAGGAACAATACAAAACATTAAAAATACAACAATAATCCAATCTAAATTAGAAGGGGGGGATTAATTTACAAGACATACAAACAAAGCTAGAAGCACTTAGAATCAAATTTATAGGACAAGCCATAAGAAAGAAGGAGGAAAATTTATTTACACATTATTACATTGGGATAAGGTTAGGACAGTAAATAAAAATTGATAACAGCCCATCGCATTACATGTGAAGAAAACAATCGGATTTTCATATGGCATGCATTCAAGCATTAAAAGGCAACAAAACACTTATACGCAAGACAACTAAAGAAATTTACACACATTTAGTAAAGAAACAAGCAACATCACTCTACAATAGGATAAAATGGACACATGTTTATGGAACAATAAAAACTAAGAATACATTTAAAATACACACATTAAAGAAATCGAAAATAAGGACAAAGAAATAACATATAGACAAATATACAACATGACACCAGTATCATCAAGACCATACAAGGACAGAGTTAGGCACATAGAATGTCCACTCTGCAGGACAGGAGCTAATGAGACAGACCAACATTTATATCTGACATGCAACACAATATCTAAATCTACACTTAAACAAATCATACAAGCAGGTACAATTCACACAGTAGATATAGACAGAGCTATAACACTAAACACAATACCAGCATCCATAAACAAGAAACAACACACAATGAGTCTAATATTACTTTCACAATACAGAAAACATGTATGGCACCACAGACTTAAGGCTTTTTTCCACAAACATAATTACACAAACATTACATTAGAAACACTTTTTAGATTTAAAATACAAAACATAATTCAAAACATAAGTTAAGAAAATATAATGACACAATAATACATTCAAATAATTTGTTTATCATTCCAATTCATTTTGACATCATGTTAAATAATTCATAATAGAAACAAATGTTTAATGTAGTCCACACTATTTAATTAGAATTTCAGTAACGACTATGTCAATAGGTTATTTCAACACATGAGTACCTATGTATATAGCGTTTCTTTCGGAAATTTTTCCCTGGTGGAGCAGGGCGGTGCCGATGGCCAGTGGCTTAGCCAAGTGGTTGCAGATGGGACATACGTCCCGGGGCGCCAGACAAGCGGGGGAAGGGGCAAGGTGGGCTTTTATCGTATATAATGTTTGAAAATAATGGGTTTAAAGGTTGAGGGGGGGTGGGGGTGAAAATGAACCCTGTCCCATAACTCTAAACACTCTAGAAACGCCTATGATAGTTTTGTCGAAATAAGGCGCATGGTTTGGTTCAGCCAGGTGGAATTTTGTCTTCAAAATGTAGGAGTGCCATTTTGGAACAATTGCTTGAAAGCTTGTTCCAGTTGGCAAACCTAATCCTAACCTTAGGAAAGAGTGGCTAGCACTGAAAGCTGAGTACATTGCCCACCTAATCTAAGAATGAATCTATTTGTTTAGGAAAGAGAGGCTAGCACTGAAAACTGAGTACATTGCCCACCTAATCTAAGAATGAATCTATTTGTTTAGGAAAGAGTGGCTAGCACTGAAAGCCGAGTACATTGCCCAACAGAAATCTCATGTAGCAGCCTTGAAGGAGTCATTACGGGAACTTCGTCAACAAGAAACCAATTCGTGGTCAACTGGTCAGTAATGGCTTATTTGAATAGCATGTTAGATTTCTTTGTTGGCATTAATTCTTACTGAATGAAAATTTCATAGGATTATATAATTTCATGTAACATATTATAGGATTATATTTATATTTCATGTAACGTGCTTCTTACAAATTTTAGTCTTTTGCTATTAATAGATCATTAGATCAACTTTGTCAATTTGTTTAATACCCAGACAATGATGACAAGATGAAAGTCCTCATGCCATTAACATATCTTCTGACAATTAACTTTAAAAGATTAATTTAAAAAACAGACAGGAAAAATAAGCAAATACAGCTGGGTCAAAAATTTCATCGATTGACAAAATACTCCGAAGGTTCCACATGTTCCTTTAAATGGTGTAGAACCATTCCACATGTTCCTTTAAATGGTCTAGAACCATTTTCACGTTCCTTTAAATGGTGTAGAATCATTTCCACATGTTCCTTTAAACGGTCCTGAACCATTTCCACATGTTCCTTTAAATAATCTAGAACCATTTTCACATGTTCCTTTAAATGGTCCTGAACCATTTCCACATGTTCCTTTAAGAGGTCTAGAACCATTTCCACATGTTCCTTTAAACGGTCTAGAACCATTTCCACATGTTCCTTTAAACAGTCTAGAACCATTTCCACATGTTCCTTTAAACGGTCTAGAACCATTTCCACATGTTCCTTTAAACGGTCTAGAACCATTTCCACATGTTCCTTTAAACGGGCTAGAACCATTTCCACATGTTCCTTTAAACGGTCTAGAACCATTTCCACATGTTCCTTTACAAATTGTTGTGGATCAGGTACAGGAAACAAACATTTAAATTTAGAAGATGTGTTCGGCACCAAACGTTTGAAAGCAAGTCAAGAGGTTAAAATGGCCCATGTGGAAAGTCTCAAGTTCACACCTAATGTCATCATCCAGTGGAAGTGTTCTCACGAAGTACACAGAGATAAAATTAAGGTCAGTGGAAGTGTTCTCATGATGTACACACAGATGAAATTAAGGTCATAGAATTATTTTAGGGTGAACTTACGATATATTTTTGTTTAGAAAAGTCATAATCAGTTTGTACCGGGTTAGGGTTAGGGTTTGTGCTGTAGAAGAATTATAATATGAGAAACATCATTCTTTTTTAGACTTATGGGTGACAAAATAACAGATCTTGTTTTGGAACTCCCCGTACAGAGACTGTAATCATACATTGTCCTATTTCATACAGACAATGTTTAAAGAAATAAGTGGCGACAGTATCGCCTACATTGATGCCAAAGAAGAAGCCAAAACGGGATACATTCGTTTCAAAGATGAAGCAAGTGCTGAAGAGTTTGCCAGAATGTCGAGGCAGTCGACATCCTTCATGGCAAGAGTTTTGCCAGGTAAAAAATATTCCTTGTCTAATTTTGTTTTCTATGAAGCCAAACAAAACAAAGCTCTTGACAGTGATGAAATGTGGACAAACACAATAATTGTTTTCTTTTTAAATGACCAGTCGATCAGCAAGAGGCTTACTGGGTCAAGGCCAACGAGGACCGTTTAAAGAAACTGGGTAGCAAGAAAAAAGAGAAGGGATCAGAGAGGGTGAGTGGCTCCAACATCACAATTCAAATGTTCAAACTTTTAAATATATAAGTAAAATGATATGTTGTAGTTCCAGTCAGTTGACGTGGACGGTCATTAAGACCATTTTTCAGATAACCCTCATTTTGACTGATTATTATTGGGCGTGACTTTAGGTCATAGGTCAGATGACTTAGACTGGCTTTGACCTCATAAGCACATTTTTACAAGGATTGACAGGTCGTGTCTAAGTTATCAGAGTTGAGAGGCAGTATGAAGGCAGAGTGTGCTGTCTTTCCACAGTCCACCAGTTTGAAGGCAGTGTGAGCTGTCTTTCCACAGTCCACCAGTTTGAAGGCAGAGTGTGCTGTCTTTCCACAGTCCACCAGTTTGAAGGCAGAGTGTGCTGTCTTTCCACAGTCCACCAGTTTGAAGGCAGAGTGTGCTGTCTTTCTTTCCACCCACCAACAAAGTTGCTTCTATACAGAAATTGCAGTTTTCTTTTCCTTTCTTACACTATCAATTGACTGAGCACCGTCCAATGTCCATCAATTCCCGTTCAATCTCTGGTTTACACCGGAAATCACTCACTGGAAACCCCATGTGTGCTTGAACAAACTCTTTGATTTGTAAGCATTTCATTTTTTAATAAGTGTATCAGCTTCTCTGGTACCATGTTTGAATTTTCTAGAATGTCTAATAGTGCTTAACTAATTCAATTCAGTTTTCACTGGTACGGCTCCCCCTCTCCACAGCTCACAGTGTTACAGCTCCGCCCTCTCCCCAGCTCGGCCTCTGGGGGATTTTCACGAATTCTCGGTTTTTCTAGGAACAATGACGATATCAGCCATTATGTTGTAACCAATGCCACATATCTTTTCTTTATCTTTACCACCTGACAAACGTCACCTTATTCCTCCTTAAACTGGTCTCACTTTAGAGTGAATTAATTCACACGCATGTAATACTTTTTCTTCATTTAGCAGGGACATATTTAAAAATGTAAATTACCTAAAATTTAAATGTAAACTTACAATGTAATGTAAACGAAAACAACTAAATTCTAATGTTTACATTGTAAAATTAACAAAGAACGATGACGTTGTGGAATTCATCAAAATGGTCAAACTTTATTGAAAGATAAAAGTATCTTTATCTGATGGTGATATTTAACCTTAGACTTGGACGCATGGTTTAAGAACTTCAATACTTCAATATTAATCTTCTTGTTGGATCTGCATCCTTCAACAAAATAAACTAGCACATGTTCCAATGCAGTCCAGAACAACACCACCAGGTCAAGAATGACAGTCAACCCCAGACCAAAACTACACTCACAAAACAAAACATTGCTTTTAAATGTGCTTCAGATTTGAGCCATTTTCTTATGTGCTTCAGATTTGAGCCATTTTCTTATGTGCTTCAGATTTGAGCCATTTTCTTATGTGCTTCAGATTTGAGCCATTTTCTTATGTGCTTCAGATTTGAGCCATTTTCTTAGGCCACTTCAAAAGCTGAAGTTAAAAAAAAAAAAAGAAAAAAAATTTAATGCATGCCTGCAGTATGAGGAATCACCACAGAAAACTTCAGCTACATAGGGCTTATTTTTGCTAGTGATCAGTGAGTCAGTGCCATTTTTCTAGTGATCAGTGAGTCAGTGCCATTTTTGCTAGTGATCAGTGAGTCAGTGCCATTGTTGCTAGTGATCAGTGAGTCAGTGCCATTTTTGCTAGTGATCAGTGAGTCACTCAGTGCTATTTCGCTTTTATGTGTGTGTGTATATATATTTTTGATTCTTTTTTTTTTTTTCAGATTGCGAGAAAAGTATTTGAGAGAAACAAAGCAACATTCCAGCAAAAAGCCACCAGAATTGTGTTTAATGAGGATGATGACGACAATGTCAATGTCAACAAGAAAACCACCATTATAGAATCTGCCAATCTAAATAACTAAATGTCAATGTCGACTGTGAGCAGGCCATTAATAAAAACTTGGTTTACTTCTAGACTCATTGGATTGTCAATGCGTCTGTCAGTGTTAATACAAGAACATGTCACCGGTGTGTCTGTGAATGTTGTGACAAGTACATGTCACCAATGTGTCTCTCATTGTTGTCACAAGAACATGTCACAGATGTGTCTGTCAATGTTGTCACGAGAACTTGTCACCAGAAAATTGAGCGCACACTTAGTTCTGTTTGTGTCTTCAACCCAGAAAAAGCTAAGAATAGGTGACGGCAGTCTTCAATCAAAGCCTGCTAGGCTTTGACGAAACCATCCAATAGACCCACCCAATAGACCCACCCAATAGACCCACCCAATAGACCCACCCAATAGACCCACCCAATATGAGACAAGTTTGAATGTACTTGATTAGTGCATGACTAAATAAAGAAGCATTTATTCAAACAAATTTTAATGCCCAGAAGCCAAAGCCAAAGTTGAATGTCTTTAATGTTACACTAAGATTACACTTATGTTACACTAATGTTACACTTATGTTACACTAATGTTACACTTAAACTTGTTCTTGTTTGTTTTCCTACTTGACAGTTCATGCATTTGAAAGACATGTTTGAATGAACTCTCTAACAAAATAAATGCACTTTTTATATGTACTAATTTGGTCATTCCTTTTTTTTTTTATTGCCTTGCTATTTGTTTCTTTTAATATCATAATAATATACTGTGATTGGTCTAGATGAACTAGGCTAGTCCCCATATGATTGGTCTAGATGAACTAGGCTAGTCCCCATATGATTGGTCTAGATGAACTAGGCTAGTCCCCATACGATGATTGGACTGGATGAACTAGGCTAGTCCCCATATGATTGGACTGGATGAAATAGGCTAGTCCCCATACGAGGATTGGACTGGATGAACTAGGCTAGTCTCATACTGTGATTGGACTAGATGAACTAGGCTAGTCTCCATACTGTGATTGGACTAGATGAACTAGGCTAGTCTCATACTGTGATTCGACTAGATGAACTAGGCTAGTCTCCATACTGTGATTGGACTAGATGAACTAGGCTAGTCTCCATACTGTGATTGACTGGATGACCTAGGCTAGCCTGGCAAGTCTATACGTACAGACCTATGCTAACAACATACGAAGGGCCGAGTAGAAAAAGTTACAATTTTTAAAAAACGAGTTAAGCCTGGCATTATATTTGATTTCTCCCTCTGAATAATTCATGCAAATAGCATTCATGAAAAACGTCCACCATTAAGTGTTTGATTCAGAGTTACTTCATTTCAACAACAAAAAAATATCTGGTCAAAGCGATATTGTGATGTTACATATTGTATGTGGTGGTGAATATGCCTTTTTAGCTCAATGGTGAGAAGTGTCCTTTTTTCCAAGTCCAGTCCTTTTAGCCCAACAGTGAGAGGTGTCCTTGTTCCAAGTCCTCCAGTCCTTTTAGCACAACAGTGAGAGGTGCCCTTGTTCCAAGTCCTCCAGTCCTTTTAGCACAACAGTGAGAGGTGTCCTTGTTCCAAGTCCTCCAGTCCTTTTAGCACAACAGTGAGAGGTGCCCTTGTTCCAAGTCCAGACCTTTTAGCCCAACAGTGAGAGGTGTCCTTGTTCCAAGTCCAGTCCTTTTAGCACAACAGTGAGAGGTGTCCTTGTTCCAAGTCCAGTCCTTTTAGCCCAACAGTGAGAGGTGCCCTTGTTCCAAGTCCTCCAGTCCTTTTAGCCCAACAGTGAGAGGTGCCCTTGTTCCAAGTCCAGACCTTTTAGCCCAACAGTGAGAGGTGTCCTTGTTCCAAGTCCTCCAGTCCTTTTAGCACAACAGTGAGAGGTGCCCTTGTTCCAAGTCCTCCAGTCCTTTTAGCACAACAGTGAGAGGTGTCCTTGTTCCAAGTCCTCCAGTCCTTTTAGCACAACAGTGAGAGGTGTCCTTGTTCCAAGTCCAGTCCTTTTAGCCCAACAGTGAGAGGTGCCCTTGTTCCAAGTCCTCCAGTCCTTTTAGCCCAACAGTGAGAGGTGCCCTTGTTCCAAGTCCAGACCTTTTAGCCCAACAGTGAGAGGTGTCCTTGTTCCAAGTCCTCCAGACCTTTTAGCCCAACAGTGAGAGGTGTCCTTGTTCCAAGTCCTCCAGTCCTTTTAGCCCAACAGTGAGAGGTGTCCTTGTTCCAAGTCCAGACCTTTTAGCCCAACAGTGAGAGGTGCCCTTGTTCCAAGTCCTCCAGTCCTTTTAGCACAACAGTGAGAGGTGCCCTTGTTCCAAGTCCAGACCTTTTAGCCCAACAGTGAGAGGTGTCCTTGTTCCAAGTCCAGAGCAAACACAAGAAATCCAAAATTTAGGGAAAATGGTTTTCCAAAGATCAAAGAGTTTGAACATATTTCCTAGAGAATGAACTGCAATTGTATGTTAAGTTCATAAACACTCTTACTACTATTTTAAGTTTTACTGCTGCATTCATGGCCGTGTGCCAGCATCGATGGGACGTCATTATCCATATATATTTAGGCCCACCATGCATGATATATTTATATCCACTAGCGTAGGAGGAGGGGGTTCTCGCCAATTCGAACGTTTTCGATGTCACAACGCATAGGCAAAATGTACACAGGACAGGATATCCACGGTTCATTCACAAACCTCAGTATCGCAGCAAATCTTCTGACAACGCAACGCGCTGTTTCATTGGTGAGATTTTAAAAACAAGGTGTGGTAGCAAACTGACTGACAAAGCCATAGGTCTGCGTCATACCTTTTCATGACGTAATTAATAGGGTGTCAGCGCGGAATGCTATTGCAAGGGAAAATAACATTTTATCCCACAGGAGCCCTTGCTCATTTCGCGTTTGACAGAATCGCGCTATTTCAACGGTTTTTGGTTAAGAAATCGTTCCGTTACAGGAGTGAGTTGGCGCATTTGACAAAACTAAAACATCGCTATTTCAAGGTTCCCTATTCACAAGTTTTCAATGTACTATACTTCTAGTACGTCACTGGTTGAGGTTGATTTTCCCTTACACTTGCACTTAAGTCTTTATTAACTTTTGTATGGCAACTTAACTTGTGGCATAATTTCAAAAGTATCTTTATAATGTGATATTATTATGAATAGTAGATTCAGTAGAGTGAATTACCGAAATTTTTAAAATTATAACTACATACAGTCACTATTACAGTGTTAAAACAGTAATATCAATATCAAAGCTGTTTATAACATATAATAGTTATCTCTTATTTTCAGGCTGATTATTTAAATCGATAGTCAGCAAATTTGCTAATGGATCGGTGCAACCGTAACTTACTTATTAAAATTAAACTTACTTAGTTTAGTTACTAAATTCTAGTAATACTATTACTATTAGTAAAGACTAGGTGACTAACACTAAATATGAATCGCTAATGAATTATTTTTCTTTTACAAAAAACAACACCCATTTCTGAAGTTATCAAGTGACTTCTGACTTATTATCAGGTGACCCGCGATGGGTCACGATTCACAGGTTGGGAACCTTTGGTCTATTTAATTATCTTACACGCCCAAGTCCTAGTCAGGTTAAATTCTTTAGCGGCATTGTGTTGCCAATGACAACAAAACAAATCTCGGGGTGCAAGAATGAACCAGTATACCGAATGAACCTACGATGTCAAAATAGGTCCCTTAAAATATACCACATTACGATAAGTTATAGACAAAAATAACACAAAATTATTTATATTACATCATAAACATTTTATTCGAGTTTAAAAAACTGCTTTCTTTGAACAATAACTGTAACTGCATGCAGTCTTGTGCGGACTAATACAGTGGTTTAAAAAAGGAAACGAGTTGACATGAGTTGAGTTTTTTTTATGAGAGTTAACTTAATAACATCGTTAAAGTGCTAGCTTAGGGCTTAGAGCTATAAATGCAACACAATTAAGTCTAAAGGCTTACAATTCTTGTTGGATTACAGTAACTGCCTTCACTCAATGAAAAGGGTGTTGATTAATTATCAGAATTCCATTTCCAGTGTTGTATTTAGCTTAGTCTGACTAAGGCTTAGTTAATTTATTCTTACGACTTTGTTAACTTAATAACTTAATATACTTAGTTCGACTTAGATTTAGATGTTAATGTTATTAATAAAACTTTATGATATGATCAACTTCAGTAAAAGTTGAGTGAAAGTTTCTTAAAGCTTAACGTAAAGATAAATAAATTTTAGCAGCAGACAATAGAACTGACTAATATAAATCAAGATGCCAACATCAGTTTCCTTGTCACACCTTGTGGACCTAGCGCTAGGATCACCTGAAGTGGGCGCTGTTAATTTTAATGTACTTCACACTTTGCTTCATGCCATGATTCAGAGGCTAAACATACAAGACGTTAAAGCTGATATAGATGAACATGATAGGGAGTTATTATCAACACATGCAGCGCCACCAAGATCAGTTTCTGCATTTTCAACGATAAGTAAAGATAGTGGTAAAGGTGACGACTCCTTTTCCATTCCAGAAGAAAGCTCCAGTGATAAGTATAATGTTTATAAACGTAGTCCGTATCACCAACTAGAAAAACAGGTTGCAGAACTGACAAAACAGATGGATGAACTCAACAAACTTCCAAGCAATCAACAACTTTTAAATAGAACTAAAGGCATTGAGTCTGAGCGACCAGTTTCAGATATGTGGCAATCTTTACAGCTAAAAAAAAGAGTTGATGCTAACGAAGAAGGTATTAGCAAAGTAAGTTTTATGAAAACATTTTCATTTATTTTATCACAATTTTTTAATGTCTGGGCTTATTATAACATAATACTAATTACTAAAATTTTCGTTCATTTAATCCTTGTTATATGCCGACCTGTGCACTGTACTTGAGAACATTGTTCTAAGTAAAAGAACATCACTTTTATCAGCAGCTGCTGTAGTTGTCTGCAGGGTCAAATTTCTGTTTCATAAATCCTACTCCATTGTAATAAATAGATCTCTTTGGGTCTACCACTGTTTTGATTTTCTTGGGGATTCCACATCTTCAGTGATGAATCTTAAAATTGCTTCAATTTATATCACTCTCAACCAGTTCTTCATTAAAGATAGCATCAGGCCAGAAGTTACCATTGATCCTTTTGTGTTGTAAACATTTCATCTAGAAAACTTTCACACTTCTGTTCTTGTTTGCTAGTTGTCTTCCCCAGCACTCTAAACCATAGATGAAGACTTTACTTCAAAAATGTGTACCTTTGTGTGTATGCTCTGGTTGTTTGATCTCCATGTGGATTGTCAACAATCCCTGATTTGCCTACTCAGAACCTTGTGTTGATATGTCACAGTCAGTATCAGTTGTGATCTAGTTAATTAGGTCCTCAAACTTTGTCACTGTCAGTTGTGATCTAGTTAATTTGATCCTCAAACTTTTTCCCATCATCCAGTTGGTTTTTATTTCAAGGGATTTTGACCTTCCCATTCATCAATTCTCATGACTTGTTTTTCTGGCATTAACTTTAAGACCAATAGCATTGGCAGTTTCAGCTAGTCTCTTTGTCTTTTCAGGGGACAAAGTGATGCTTGATGGATATCAATCCTATGTCATCCTCAAGCATCCATTGTTTTCCTTGCTTCTTC